GGCTCGCAACCCACTTTGTTAAGGATTTTTCACCTTTTTGCTTGTAAAACCGTTAAATGAAGGAATTTCGTAAAATCCGAAAAACCGTTTTTGGCGAATGTGTTTCTCCACCTCCATGCCAAAAATCGGCTGGAAATTCGGCCTACCGGCCGAGAAACGTCCCGAACAGAAAACACACATACTTTTCTCGCTTATAGGATAGGATTCTCTAACCCTAACCCAGAAGCTTTCTAGTCATACACTAATGCCGTTGGTGGCCATTCCTGGGATCGCCGATGTTTATGAGCGATATGTCGATTCGGAACATTATCGACGAAGGCTGGAAGGTAAGTAAACAAATGTCGGAAAGCTTGTACAATTTTAGCCGCTGCTCACATTCATCGCTTTCTTTTTCTCCGACTGAACTTAAGCTTGTTGTCATGATCGATTCCAGATTGGAGCGAAGTGACGGTGATGGCAAAGTGTGCTTTTCAACTTTTCAAAAAAGGAGCCGGAGAATGCTGCCCTCCATCGCAAATCACCATCTGATATTCGTTTCTCCTAATTTGTGTTCCGCAAATTGACCGGATTTTCCGATTGATCGAATAAACTTTTGGCCTCAAGGGTTTTGCCTGAAGGTTACATTTCAAGGGATTTGAAGCACGGCTACAGTATCGAAAAGGCTGGTTGACCTGCTGTCTCAAGGGGGACTCAACAAGCATTTGCAGGTCCTGCCTTCCGGACCCCTTTAAACAGATGCTTAATTTTTTCGAGTTGCTCCTAGTTTCGAACTGGAAAAGTTTATGTGGGGTGCCCACTACGAATATTTCAAGGGAGTAATAAACTTTTTTATCTCATTAGAAGGATTGTATTGCCGCGGACTGTAAAATGAAAACAGTGACCGTCCGTACTCAATTCGGTAGCCTCAACGTAGAAGCTTATGAGAACAAGAATGGACATCTCAACGAAATTCAACACGAACGACTATAGAGGGCCAACCAACAGACAGATGGTGCGTTCCCTCTCTATCTAGCTCTCACTCACTCTCACACTCACTCTCTCTTCCCCTCTCTCTCTCACTTACGCATTCTCTCTCCCTCTCGCTCTCGCTCTCTACCTCACTCTCACTCTCTAACCCTAACCCAATAGGTTTTTAGTCATACGGTAATGCCGTTGGTTGCCGTGCGTGGGATCGCCGATGTTTATGAGCGATATGTCGATTCTGAACAGCGCCAACGAGACGACGAAGGTCAGTAGAAATCACCAATGGTAGACTCATGGATTTTCAAGCGCTTCTTTTTTCGGAAATTTTTTAACAATATTTGATTGCAGATTGGCGCCAATTGGCATTGATGACAACGTGTGCTCGACGCTTATACGAAAAGGGTGCCGGTGAATGTTGCCCTGCAGCCAAAATCAAAATCTGATTTTATTTGTCCAACTCGTTTGTGTACCTTCGGATTGACCACCTTTCACCTTTTCCCTTTAACCCTATACAGGGTGGGCCAGAAAAAAGCCCCTAGTTTGCACTGAAATATCTCACGAACGGAAACGAATTGGACCATCGTTACCTTGTCAGAATGCTTAAATATGCTGGGTATGAAGAAAAAACACAAGTTGTTTTTTATGATTTTTGACGACCCCCTACTCGTTAAGAATTTTTTAACATTTTTAAAAAAGTAGGAAACTTTGAAGAGGAAATTAATGGAACTTTTAATGAATTAGCGGGCTATGAAGGGTATCAAAATGAAGCTCTTGGAAAAGAATATAGAACGGTTTAACTAGCTGTAAAAGGAACGTTCGGAAAATCGGCACTTTTTGCCGAAATAATTCAAGATATAATTTCTTTACCATTCGATCTTGCTGATATTTTGCATTTACCAATAAATAGTTAACTACTAACTTTTGGCATTAAGATTTTCAAAATCCCGATCAAAAAAATTTTTGGCACTTTGCCAAGTCGGCGGAATTTGTGAGTTCTACGCTCCTATAGTTAAATTTATAATATGGTTATCTTTGGCAAACATGATTACATCTAACAAATACAAAAAGTGACGGCGGCCATGTGCTTTCTATGGTTAACTCGAAATCGCCCCTTCTGGAAAAGTCCGGATATTCTGAATGCTCCTATTGACGGCTAGTTAATCCGAATGACAATCTTTACCACTAGTTTAGTAGCGCATTCCGAGAGCTTCATTTTGATATCCTACATGCGCCCCTAGCGCATTAAAAGTTCCATTAATTCCCTCTTCAAAGTCTTCTACTTTTTTAAAAATGTTCAAAACTTTTTAACGAGTAGGGGGTCGTCAAAAATCATAAAAAACAACTTGTGTTTTTTCTTCATACCCAGCATATTTAAGCATTCTGACAAGGTAACGATGGTCCAATTCGTTTCCGTTCGTGAGATATTTCAGTGCAAACTAGGGGCTTTTTTTCTGGCCCACCCTGTAAAGCGTTTGACGTAACGTGATTAAGAAGGGCGCGTTCTCATATTGGACAATTCGGGCCACCGGATTTCGGATGCCGCCCAAAAACAGAGCCAACGAACCTCTGCTATGCCGCACTTCTTGGCACACATCAAACTTCAAGGGGCTCGGAAATCAAAATTCGTGCGTGCGGGGAGTGAAACTATTGGTCGATTCGCAGTCTCTTCAAAGAATTTTCAGAGCCACAAACTTTATTCACAATCAAGTAGTAAACGCGTCAAACAGTATCATGCTTTAAAGAAATGTTTCCATTTTGTCCGAGTAGTTGTTGGGAGATTCGATCGGTGAGAAGGTGAACGACGCGTAGCGGGGCGGCTACCGCAAGCGCTTCGGTGAGACGAATTGACCGGTGATGGCATCGTGCGGTCGGCCATTGCTATCGTAACGAACGTCCGAGCCGCGGGATGAACTCGACTCAAAAGTATCCAGTAATTTTCTACCAAAGAACGACACCCACATTCCTCGAACCGCGTCCACGTGAGGACGAGCTGCGCCTGTGGGATGATGAACTACGCGCCGAGCTGCTGTCACTGGAGTGTTGGGTCGATTCCTCGGCTTCATCATTCTTCTCATCATGGGATCGACGGGTGGGGCGCTGGCGGACGCGTCGCGTCTTGCGGCGTTCGCGTGACCTCGATGGGCGCTCGTGGCTACTCGGCGTGTCGACGACCGGGATCAGGATGCTCGACGTCGAGTAGATGGATACGCACGTCCCTTTTCGAATGGCTCTCTGAAAGGGGCTGGGTTGGATGAGGATTTGGTCATGCCCGCCCACCAGGTCTGGAATCTGTTTGACGCGTGCAGAGTCGTTGAAACGGACGCGGCGCGAGGGGGAAATCGTGTCGACGTCTTTTGTCGAACGCTTCGATCGACGATGGTCATCGTCGGGCGCCGGCGGCTGCGAGGCAGCGCGCTTCCCGGGCATCGATCGGATTGGGGAGCAGTATGACAAATAAATTCGAGCTACCTTTTCTAGACCAGGAATGCATTCAACGCGCCATTTAAATCCGGAACTGAATATGCTAATTCGCTTCAAAACCATGTAGATTATGCAAATTTATTCCGTACTCTCGTCAGTTAAGAATTCGGCCAACAACACCGAAACGACATGAACATTGATCGAATTGCCGAGGGTACGGTAGAGTTGCTTGCTGGTGGTGGTCGCCGGCCAGCTGAAGGTTTCGGGGAAGCACATCAGGCTTGCCACCTAAAAATAATATGGGAATTTTGCAAGACAAACCTCGCGTGGTGAAAATCTGCGCAGCTTTGGGGTCTTCCCTTCAGCAATTCGGTTGCCGGAAACCTAAAAATGATTGATTTCTGAAAATAAAAAAAAACCATGTCCGCGTCTCTTGTGAAATAGGATCCGCATCCCGTCATGTAGGTGCCGTAGGACTTTGTGAAACAGGCGGACTTTCGGCTTTCCTCCGTCACAACGTCCAGTGAAGCAGCGAAACTGGAATTTATGAATTGTGATGTAGATAAGCGAAAATAGAGTTCCTGTTCCGGTTCCTGAGTTCGCAATCGAAAAAAAAATCGTATGAAGAGTTCTACACACCGTTTCAGGTCCTCGTCACGTAGAGTCAGGCTCGGGTCGTCAAAGTCGGGGGAAATGAATTGGCCTATCTAAAAGAATAAAATTCGGTTTTGGCACCAATCTTACTTGCGCCACGTCGTCGCAACACTTTGAGTGCGTCGTTCTGATTTCCTGAGCTTCTCGGTGATGTGTCGATTGTAGAGACGCGAGGAGGTAATACCTTGGCCGCTTGTTCGGGATGCCGAGTTGCACTGGTGAGAGGATGTACTGCTGAAAACAAAACTTAAAATTCGCCGCAGCTAACGAAACATACCTCAGATGTGTAGCCCTTTCGCTGGAGCGTTGTAAGCGTCTCGGTGTGCATAGGTGACGTTTCAAAGCCGACGACGTTTTCCAAGAAGATATGCCTAAAACGGTAGTCGAGACTTAAAAATTTACACTACCTTGGTAATTTTGCCATTCCTTCCAGACAGTCCAGTATCCATTTCAAAGCATCACACCGCCGATCCTTTTCGCCAAGTTGTAGGCCCTTGGAAGTAAACGGTTGACATGGCGGGCTCATCGTCCACAAATCCGCGTCGAATTTGTCGAGCTGCGCCGAAGTTAGAGACTAAACTCATTTAGCGATTCAAGAAAAAGCCAAAGTACCTGTATATTATTTTGACAAAGCTTCGTGTTCGGAAAATTGTGCCTGTAGATTTCGTTGGCCGTCGTGTTGATGTCGTAGGCGGCGATGACCACAAACGGTAGCCCAGTTTCTAGCGACCCTTTTGATTTCTAGAAGCTCCAACACACCTTGCAGCGCATAATGCATCCCGCCAATGCCCGAGAAGAACTCGACGACTTTCAGCGGCGAAGCTTGGTTCATCTAGGGCGGGTGCCTGCGATCGAAAATCCAATTTTTTCAGGTAAATGCAATGTTACTCCATAGTTTTGCTCAAATAGTTGTTAGACTTTTATTCAAAGTGACAAAGGCGATAGGTTCTTCTGATTGTTTATATCTTGGCAAGTTGCTTGGCCTAAAAAAAATAATGATTTTAGAAAAAAAAAGCTGAATTACCCGCTCTCGAATCTGCTGGAATTGATATTGGAAGTCCGGATAAAGGAAGGGGCGGTGATCGTTGCGATGGTCATCGCAGCTATACGCTTCCGCATGGTAGGCTAAAAACGTTACCGCTTAAACTATTCTTAAAAAAGTACTACCTGGGGTCGACACCGTGGCTTTGTGGCGATTGATTGCATATCTTCGGTAGAACAGGATTGTCTTTTCGGCAATCTAAACCATATGCCAACCAAATGGAATTAAGCCAGGCGCTCACCTCATCGTAAGTGTACTTCTCTGCCCAGACCGAAACAAGGGCGTTGAACATTGCATACGGGCCCATGCAGCCGGGCTTTCGCAATTTTCCGACTGTTGAGAGCTCCTCGTAGGTGAGCCCGATTTCCTCCTAAAAACTGTTTTTTTTGAAGCGGATTTAGATACCTCGTCAGTTTGTGCGATTTGACCCTCAACGAGGGGACGTAGCTCGGCGGTGGGTGCGGCATGGATTACGCTAAAATATTGGTTTAGCTTCTCCAAATTCACGAACTATTTGAGAGCCTCGAATCCGAATTCATCGTGCGCATATTTCAGGAAGTCGCGCAGGTCCGTCTTGCAAATCGAGCCGATCGGGTTGATGTCGGCGGACGAGCAGTCGTATTTCGTCAGGTAGCCCACCAAACTGAAACAATGTTTTTTTCTTCATATTTTTGAGATTAGAATTAAGATTTGAAGCTTTTTAAGGGGATCAGCTAATCTAAAAATCAGATCTAACAGCTATAGACTAGCGAGAAGCTCTATATGACCCACGGATTCGAGAACGGTACAGGGAAATTTCCTAAATTCGAGTTCCTTGAATAGTTGATTTGCATCATTCCGGAAGCGCGTAAATTTCCAAGATGGGCCGCATATAAAAATAGAGTGCGACTCATTCGGTATTCGTCAATCACATTCGCTAAAGATGGATTTCCAGAGGAACAGGTCAGTCTCTCGAAGTTGCACTGAACTCGTTGCAGGGCCCGCTCCCGCAGTCGCAAGCGTTCGCGCAGCCGCAGCCGCAACCGCTGGGCAAAGTCGCTGGGAGCCAAACCCGACAACGTGGAAGTGCCCGCCGAAAATCCGACTGCAGCCTCGCGGTCCCTTCAAGACGTCGACATGGTGCAGCATTTCTTGGTGCAGCTGGCCCACGGGTCGATGATGCACAGCATCAGCGGCGTGAGCACCATCGCCCAGCTTTATGATGTAGGCTGGCATACGCAAAAGCGAGTACAGCGTTTACTTAGAAAATCGCCGAATGCTTCCCGAATGTGCCCAAGGAGGACTTCCTCTACCTGACCAATGGTACATACAAGGTAAAGCTTTGGTGCTTATATGTTAGCGGGGGGGGGCATCCCTATAATGTCATATAAATTTTATAGCATTTTACGAGTTTTAAAGATAAAATTGATTAAAAAGTAATAAAACTTTGCAAAGAATTCGGATTCCGACAAAATGTCACATTTTAGATTTTTAGATTTTTAGTAAGCAGACTTTACTAAAAACGATATCTTTACTACCGTACAGGGTAAGCTGTATAAGAGAAATTAGCCCCCCCCGCTAATGAACTTGTCCCCTCAGGTCGATATGGATGCGGTGGTGAGCAGCCAGCTGAACTTTGGAGACATCCTGTTTCTTCACGTGCGAGGCGAAAAGCGCGAGCTGGAGATCCAGAAGACGGACAAGTAGATGACCAAAGCATCGGCATTTATTTTAAGCCTCCAGGATTATCGGGCTGACGATCTCGGACAACGGGATCGGCAAGTGCTTTGTCAAGAAGATTCGCCCGGGTTCGGCGGCTGACCTGGCGCGCCCGGCCGTCGCCGAGGGGATGCACATCGGTGAGCGCTGGATTCTCCCCAAAAACTATCGATTTTTAGAGCGCATCAACGACGTCGACATGGTCGGCAAGCGACACTACGATGTGGCTCTCTTTTTGCGCGAGCTGCCCATCGGATCGACGTAAGGCGAATGAAAACTATAACTTACTTCTACTAAATCTATAGAACTTTAACGCTTCTAGGGTGAAGCTGCGCCTGATCTGCCCGTTCGAGAACGGCCTGACGAAGATCAACCCGCGCCAGGAGGGGATCTCGTCGCCGAAGATTGGCGACAACGGCGCGATGACGATCCGCTTCAAGGCCAACGGCAGCGCCGTCGTCCAGCAGGTCGCCGAGCCGAACAAGGAGAAGGAGGGCGAAGTACCGGCCGAGATCGTTGCCGCCATCAACAAGCTGTTCGAGGAGTACATTGGATGCTCGGTACCCTAAATGCAAAATGGAACAGATATTTCCACGTGCTTAGGACGAAGAACTGTCGCGTAGCGTGTGCGAGGTGGCCGCCATGTCGAACACGCCGGTCGAGATGGTCACCAAGCTGCGCGAGGTTCCGCCAAGATTGGAGCACTTTCAATTTCAACCCTTTCAGACGGAACTCGCCTCATTCTCCTTCCCCGACGAGCTGGTGTTCGACCTGTACGGCCTCTACTCGGACATCAAATCCGGACGCGGCATTCCCGTGAAGCAATGAGTCGAGGATGACGCCCCCGCCTCGCCCCGTTTAACCCAAAGGATCCAAAAGCCAGAACGCCACCCTTCGTTCACAATTTCTCTAAATGATTCTGTAGTTGTTCGTCGCTCTTTCACCATTTGGCGGCTTGATCCTGTGTTAAATAAATGGTTTTGTTTTGCGAGTCGCGGGCACGATGAAAGCGAATGGGGCAAGAGGAAGATATAAATACCAAGCTCACCTCTCATCCACATTCGCTGTCCCGAGCACCAGCAACCATCCGGCTTCGCCTCGGGCCGCCTGAGCCAATTGCGCGCATAGATAGGCTAGCACCATTCGGATCCGGGCTTGAATATTTTGCAGTGCCATCGCCTCGCGGTTGTCGTTGCTCTAAAAATGTTCCATCGACGATCCGAAACCTGTCGTACCGAAAAACTGGGCATAAAGTTGTAGGCCAGCTTGAATATGCCGAGCATCGCCGAGACGGCAGTGTCAATGAGCAGGCTCAAATCACATTTTTAAAAACAAAGAATTCACGCGCCACCTGGTGTGAGAGCTGTTGATCGCCTTGGCCAAGCCGTCGGCGCTCTTGCGCGTCTCTTGGCTAGAATGCTCGCTGGCCATGTAGCATGTGTGCAATACCTAAACGTCGGGCTAGTAAAAATGGTGTCGATCTTGCCTGTCTACACAACACGTCTGGATCCTCGCTGACGCGCTTGCCATTGAGGAAGTAAGCCGGATCGTCATCGCCTAAACAGGAATCATGGTTTTTCATTTCGTTGGTCTCAAACAAACCTCCGCTTTCGCGACGCAACTTGGCTGCGGCGCAAACTTTCTCACACATTAGCCGCACCATCACCGCTACCGCAGAGGAATCGGAGCCGCCGGAGAGTGGCAGGAAAAAGCCAGACTAAAAGAGTATTGAATAGCCTGTCAGCAATGTAAATACCGCCTTGCTCCTTCTCAGGTAATGCCAAAGCCAGGCCGGCGGGCCCTCGCATAGCTCCTCGATCGGCGTTTTTTGCCTGTAAAGATTTGTATAAAAATCTTGGGCGTTTTCGCAATATCTAGGCGGATCCAGAAATCCCTCGTAACGTACTAGTAAAATTTTTTAGTAGTAGAATTAGTAGAATTCACAATATTTCAAGTAGAAAAACAAAAAACGTCGAAAAAGTTTCTTTGCAATTCTGGCGTCGGCCGTTTGCAATCGGGATTTCTGATCGAAGAAACCCAATTTTTTTTGTATTTTTTAGCCGTTACCTGGTCACAATCGGCTCGGTCAACGGCTCAGCGGGATTTGCTTTACTGTCCGTAAGCGTCAACGGCACCTTCACCGTCTGGAGGTAGGGCAGTGCGGCAGCCTTAAAATCCGTAGATGAAAATAGACCGGAAAAATACAAACCTCATTTCTCATGCTCGCCAAACGCGACCGATATGTCAAATTGCGGTTCAAGTCGATCAACGAAGTGGCGATACACTAAAATGGTTCTTCTCGAAAATCCAGGAACCGTACTGTATCCTCGATGTCGAACTGGTTAACTTGTGCGTAGAGCTTTCCATTTTGGGATATGCTGCTCATTCCGTCTAAAGCACAAGGTACGAATAAAAAGAAGAAGACATACCGTAATACACTCGATCACCATCGCATCCACGATGGTTCGCGAACATGTAGACTCCTCCTACCTAAAAACTAGATAAGAACATCCCTGTGCTTCTTTAGTAAGATTATTTTTCCGTATTTTAGTTCTTACTTTCCCCGTCGACCCCAGGATCAATTGATTGAGTCGATAGCAGCTTTTCCCGAGTATGTGATGGCTGCCCGAGCTGTTGACAATAATGTCCACTCCTCGAAGGCCCATGTGCACGTGAGAACTAAAAAACGATACAAAACCCTGTAGCCATTCACCTATTTGCTGTCCACAATTCTTCGCAAATCTCGAAACCGATCGTCACATTGTCGGCGGTCCTCAGCACGCCGTCCCCAAAAGGCACCTCCGGTTCGTCGAACCCAAAGCTCGGCAGAATTTCGAATCTTTCGGTGACGCCACGCCGATTCCAGCGCACAAACCAGCTGAAAAGCTATTCCACGAAAGAACGATAAAAACTTGCCGAGATTCACGGTAAACGTCATCATCGCAAAGTGTAATCTTCGGCCTGATAAGTAGGATGTGCCTAAAAATAAATCATTAATCCTCTTTTTGACAAACCCCTCCGCAAACGCCACACAGCAATTGAAAAGAAGGCCGTCTCGCCGTACCGGCATGCCAGTCACCACCAATAAATTCTTCCACTTAATGGCTTCATAAAAGTACAAACAAGGTCATCCCACCTTTTTCGAATCAAGCACAAGCCTATGTAGAATTTCCCAAGAGTGCAGCTCCGTATCCAGCTCAAAGTAGTGATCGGCGCATCTGTAAACAGGTACATCTTTCAACTCTTACAAACCCATATCCTGGAATCTCGAGCTCAGGGCCGACGCGCAGTGTAGCGCCAGCTTTGTATGCTTCCTCACACGCTGAATCAGTCCGTTATAGTAAAAAGTAATGCTTACTTTTCTTAATTCGTTCATAATTCCCCTGAAAGTCGAGGGCCCAGTTGTTGAGGGTGGCCACAGCCAGCCGAATCCTTCGGTGGAAGGTCAGGCTCATCCTGTTCCTATAATTTTTATTTGAAACAGTTTGAATAGCAGAAAAAATGTTTATTTTATTATTTTGTTGATCTTTTCGAGGGCATTACGGCAGGGAAAGGAGCGAGCAGTGTCGTTGGGTGTAGCGCGGTGTCTAACTAAAATTTTTGTTATGAACAAAAAAGAAAAGAAAACTTTTTAGGTGTTCAGGTTCTTTCAGGTTTTTTCAGGTTTTGTAAATTTAAGTATTTAATATCTGAAGCTTACTTCATTACTTTTCAGGAGATGCACTTTACCAACCACCTCCGGAACGTGATCAAGCAGCTCCAGAAAACGATATCTCACAAACAGAATATTGTTACGTGTGATCGCTTGCGAATATCTGTACGAGGCGGTGCTGGGGGAAGTGGTATTGCAAGGTAAATAATTTTAAAATGTATAGAATTTTTTGTGCACCGTCAATGATTTTATTTTCGATGAGAAATCTTTTTTTTCAGATACAACGGCACCGGCGGCGCTGGAGGCAGCGTTTATTTCGTGGCCAGACCGGAAATTGCGTTCAAAGACATCCCGAAGGCGTTGGGCGGCACATTAGAGACACGGGTGCTCGTGGCAAAAGCAGCTCCTGGCACTTCCAGTACGCAAACGAAGCTCATCGGCGATAAAGGGCGAGATTTGGTATGTTTTTTAGAGTATCTTAGGATGAATATTTAGATAGTCAACGTACCGCTGGGAGTCGAGCTAGTGAACGAGGAAAACAATGTGCTCCTGGGGCGTTGCAATCGTGTGCACCAGAAGTTGCTGGTGGCGCGGGGTGGTGATGGAGCATCGGTTGTAAATGGTTATAAGTAAGTCCAATCTGCCAATACGTTTACTTTTCCTAGGCCCGGCAAAGGCGAAAATTTTGTCCTGAGCGTCCATCTGAAGCTGCGGCCAAATGTCGGGCTTGTGGGATTTCCGAACGCCGGCAAATCTACACTTCTGAAGGCTTTCATCCCTCGCAAAGAGGTCAAGACCGCGCCTTACCCTTTTACAACGCTCGAACCTCAGGTATGTGAGAATTCGTTCCTTCGCATTATCGGGGGCGGGGCAATTTTTTTTTAAGGATTCAGGTTTTATGCTATAAAAAAAGGGAAATGTTTCAAAACGGTTTTTCTTTGACTATTCCTAAATGTATAAACCTGACAAATTTTCAGTAAGAGATAAAAATATTGATTTTTCGACGAAAATGTCACCGGAAAAAATTCAAGGTGTTTTTCTGATTCTTTTCCACTGAAACTATCGTTAAACTTTATTAAAAACAACTTACTATGATAATCTACATTTCTGGACTTCTAAAAAAAGTTGCCCCTGCTAATGCGAAAGAACCTAAGACTTTAATATTTCTCTACAACCAGGGTTGAAAAGCCGCTTCGCGACTTTTCAACCCTGGCCCTCGTTTTACCCCCATACTTCCTCACTTTGCATAAACACCTGAATTCCTGTGCAGAAAAATGAAAAGCGCGTCCTCTCCCCCATTATATAGGCTTCCCCCACTTCCGGTGCATGCTAATTGATTCCTAACAAAGAGGCTGAGCGAGATTTTCACAAAAACTTAATTTTAATATCGAAAACAGCTGGTTTTTAAAAATCTCATATGCGTGCAGTCGTGTCATGACCATTACGCACCTAATGACGTATCATACGTACCCTTAACTTCCTCCCCTATTGAGATACGACTGGAACATACGGACGGAAGTTGCATGCAAATGCACACACACACACACACACAAACACTATTTTTTTATATATAGTAGGATCTTCTTTAGATCGGCTTTTGGAAGCCGAAAAAGCAGTCCGTTGCGGATGATCCATTTACCCTGACAATTGCTGATTTACCAGGTATGCGAGTTTTTAGAAAATAGATACGGGTTTTAGGGCTGATCGAAGGCGCCTCGCGGAATCGCGGCAAGGGTCACCATTTTCTGAAGCACCTGGAATACTGTGGGATCTTGCTACTCGTCATTGATGTCAATGGATTCCAACTGAAGGCCAGCTTCGATGAGCCTTACAGGTAGTTATGCCTTTAGTATGCCACATTTCTTTTCAGAACCGCTGTTGAGACGATAGCTCTGCTCAATATTGAGCTGGAAAACTACGACAAAGAGCTCGTGAAGAAGCCGGCAGTCGTATTGCTGAACAAAATGGACATCGCAAAGGATCCTCAGGTAAATTAAATTCAAATTTTTGAATTGGTTTCCAGGAGGCCGAACAGCTGAAAGAAAGGCTGCTGGAAAAACGGTGGTACGACAGCCTTCCGCGAGAGATGAGGCCCAAGATGCCGTTGCGGTTTCGGAGCGCAATTTTGGCGTCGGCGAAGAAGCAGGATATTAACGAGGTGAGGCTTTTAAACTTAAAGTTTACTCTTTATTTAGTTAAAAACCGCGCTCGCCCAAATCCACCACGACACAAATCCGCTGGACGCTCCTAAGGAAGTGCGGCCACGCCAACCAAAATTGCTGGTATGATTCGTTTTTTGGTTCTTTACTTGTAGTTTGTACAGTTCGTTATTACTTTTTTGTTCATTTTGTTTGGAAATAAATTTTGCGACTTAAAACTATGATGCGAAGCAATTCAGAGCTTGCATCGTAATTAAAAATGGCGGAAAATACTGTGGAAAAACATCTCTTGGACTTTTTCTAGTTACTCGGCCAAGCGGAGAAGCTATGGTCCCGGTGAAACCACGGCGCCCCGACCCAGTTCTTTCTTGACGGGTGACAGGCCGGACATGAGCTCATTTCCTGCGCCTATGCCCCCCAGGGCACAGATGGTTAATGCCTAATTCGGGTTGTGTGTGTGTGTGTGCGGGGGGCGCCTCTCCTTCAGCCCCCGCTCCTTCTGGCAGACGGTCATTTGTTTTCCGGCGCCTCATTAGGCGGCGCTCCTGGTCACTTGGCGCCTCGCAATGCCAGGGGAAGGCGCTTGAAAAGTATCCTTTACCCTCGCGGGTTTTCTTGCACTACTGATTTGGTTTTGAAGCTTTTCCCGCGACTGGTGTTTCCACCTTGTTACCCTCGCGGCGGCGGGACCTCTTTTCGGGATGGAGAGGCGTTCGGCGTGCCAAATCCGATTTCGAGACTTCCTCCCCGCTCGGCGTTGCCTCTTTTCTGGAGGGCTTGGATCGCAATTTGCTCTCCCCGTTTGGCTTGCAAAGTCGCGAGAAAGTTATTTTTGTTTTTAGGTATTCGCAATTCCAATTCTGAATATCGAATTTGGGTGCTTTCGCGTTATCGGAGGGGGGGGGGGCTAAATTTTTAAATTGAGCCACTATCCGCCTAATAATAAAGCGGAAGTTATTTTCCTAGGGTATTTAGTTCTTTTCATCCTTCTATAACATTTCTGAGCACTTTTGGATCATTTTGCATGAACTAAACTGTACTTAAAAGACTACGGTACCTGCGCGCTTTTTACTATTTCTGGGACTACAAAGTTTTATGAAAAATTATATGAGGTAGGATATAAAAAAAACGTGTTTTCGATCAAAATCTTACAATTTCAAAAAATTTTTGAATTTAAAAACTGGTTTTCCTGCTGGAATATATAGTTTAATTCTTTTAATTCTGCCAGTTTCCTCCTGATGATCCAATTTTTTTCGAATGAAATAGTGTAAATGTTTCTAAACTGTTGTTACGATTTCTCAGGATACAAACTTTACAAATTTTTAGTAAAACCTAAAAAATATCGTTTTTCGTCCAAAAATGGCCGGTTTTGGAACACAATTTCGACTTTAAGTTTTAGATGGTTTTTATGGTTGAAATATAGTTCTATTTTATAAAACACTAATGACATAGTTTGTTTTAAGTTACTAGACTTTTCTAAAACTACACAAAAATATACAGCCCACCCCCATACTCCTCTCCAATACCAATTCGCCGGCGAGATAACCGATGTGGGAAGTGGTTGGCCGGGTTGCGCGCCCCATAGGGTCAATGATTCATTTCGAAGGGGCCAAATTCTCAGGGGCCCCGGCGGCCTGATGGAGACTCCGCTACCGCATCCATCATGGCCCGCCGGGGGCCCCCTATCACTCCGCATGCATAAATTCTGGCGCCACCAGTGTTCAGGAAAGTTATGGTTGGGTGAGAGTCGGAGGTCCCAAAAAATGTTGGTTTTGGAAAAATTCCGGAGGTCCCCCGAAAAAACGGTGTTTTGAGGGGCGAAATCGCGTTTTTTTTAGTAACCGGTTTCCAGCCATAACTTTGCCATTCGGTTTTCCGGAAGAACCGGAAGTGTGGCAGGGCCGGAAAGGATCTCAAAATGTAGAACGGGAAGTAAGCTATCGAATGATGGGTCGGCGGTGGCGATAGGTGGCCAGAGAAAATATTTGGAGGGGATAAGGTGTCGAAAAAAGACGGGAAAAATGGAGGCCAACCATAACTTTTTGAAAGTTTTTCCGGTTTTGCGGCCCAAAGAACCGGAGATGGAGGGAAGTTATGTATAGCCGAAAGGGAGGGTAGGATTAGGGCTACAGAATAGCGAAAAGAATGGGACGAGAGAAGCCTGGGGTTTGGAGAGACAGGGCACCGAAGAGAGCACCAACCGCGACGGCAGAAGTTGCGGATCGGTTGTGGCGGCAGTTTGGAGGTCCGGGAAGTAAATGAAAGAAGAGGGTCATGGCAAGGTGCGATACACCATTCGACGCAGAATTCGATGCTGCATCTTTTCGTAATATATTGTCAGCCAGAAAAATGGGCGTAAAAAAAGTTCTGTGGGAAATAGTGGAAAAATAGCAGTTTTTCAACACGGAGGTCCCAGCATCTCGAAAACTAGCCGATTGACCAACCTCCTTTTTTGCAGTTTCTAATAGAGAAAGACACGACGAACATTTTTCTAATACATTGCGTCAAGTGAGAAATAGGGTTTTGAGGAGTAATACTCGAAAAACCCGAAAAACTTCGTCTTTTTTGAGGAAAAGGCATCCTAGCTCAAAAACTAGACGATTGAACAACCTCCATTTTTGCAGTTTCTGATAGAGAAAAACAA